AATCCCAGCTACAGGGGAGGCTGTGGCAGGAAGATTGCAAGTTCCAGACCAGTCTTGGCAATTTAGCAAAACCCTGTCTCAAAATAAATAGTAGAAAAGAACCATGCCAGTTCACTTTGACACCTAATGGCAAAGCAAACAGGAGAAGCCAACATAAAAATAAGAGAATAGAAAAATAATGACTGTTGTGTTCTAAAATTCTCTAGGGCACTTATCTTAAAGCAGCAACGGGCTCCCATGTAGCCAGACTTGGAACTGATGAATAAGCCTGCTGTACTGCCTCTTCCTGACTAAATGGGTACCTAAATCCAAGAAAGAATCCATTTGTGGTACTAAGATGGGAAAGGGGTTTTTGGATAATATCACTATGAAGCTACTTCAAGAATCCCTAGCACTGAAAAGATAAATACAACATTTCTCCAAAGGATAAAAGGTGCATTTCCCTTCAGCATGAAAGTGTCAATTGTAAATCAGTGGGCAGACACATATGGAGGGATGCTTCAGTTAATATCTGCTTAAAGTCCAGGTTGCTGAGAAGAACCCAGTGAAACTTCTCTAGGCTGGTGTCAAAATATTATATACACAACTATCTGGTTGTAGAAGAAAATACCTTTTCTGGGAACATTTTCACACAGAGAATAAGTATAGTTGATAAGAGACCAATTTCCTTTTTTTCTCTCCAGTACTGGGGATTGAATTCAGGGGCACTGTACAATAAGCTAGATTCCCAGTTCTTTTCTACTATTTATTTTGAGACAGGGTTTTGCTAAATTGCCAAGACTGGCCTGAAACTTGCAATCTTCCTGCCACAGCCTCCTCTGTAGCTGGGATTACAGGTACCACCATGCCAAGAAAGAAACCAATATTCTACAAAACTACTTACCTACCTGTGAAATTTTGCATTTCAGCAGTCAGACTAAAGTCAGTAATACAAAGCCATTGAGACTGGTGTAGAAAACAGAGAACATCATCAGTACTGATGAGTTCCACCAACCTCAAAGAGATCAGGAAACAGTAAAATCATCTTTCACCTTTTAAAAATATGGACAAAGGGTCTCAATTTAAGTGCTGTCACTAGGAGGAAGCTGAAAATGCTGTAGACAGTGGAGGTCACAAAGCAAGGCAATAACTATGTAATAATCCCAACATTGAAATAATTTACCTTTTTTGGTACCAGGGATTGAACCAAGGAGGGCTTAACCATTGAGCCACATCCACATCCCTTTTTTATATTTTATCCAGAAACAAGGTCTTGCTGAGTTGCTTAGGGCCTCAATAAGTTGTTGAGGCTGGCTTTGAAACTTGTAATGCTCCTGCTTCAGCCTCCTGAGCCACTGGGATTACAGGTGTGAACCACTGCACTGGGATGAAATAATTTACTTTCTACAATGGTTCTCAGAGAATTCTTGTGGGCCACTCCACATAAGTCTGAAGAGATCAGAAAGACCAGAAAATTATTGGCTGAAAACAGGGATTTCAAAGTCAGGAGCTGATCAAGTTGAAAACACAGGTCCAGAACAGAGGGATAATTGATCAAAAATCTCCAGGGCTTGGGAATCTATCTTAATGGCAGAGCACTTTCCTAGCATGCATGCTCAAGGACCCTGAACTCAATTCCAATACCAAAATAAAATGAAATAAAAATTGCCAGTGACTATTTTATGTACATAAAAACTTCCTGGAAGTAATGATTACTCCTCCTTAGATGCCAGGGTCAGAAGAAAAAGAACATACTTTTCTTCCAATCATAGTACAAAAATAACTAAGGACTCCTTAATTTCAGAGCTTCAATTACTGATTTTACACACACAGACACACACACACACACCACAGTTGGGATCCTACATTTTTTTCTTCTAAGTTTTATTCTAGAATATTACTCTTATAATTATAGAACAAGCATCTAAACCATCAGATTCTTGAGGTCAGAAAGCAGATATTGTTAGTGTCTAAATACCAAGAGCTCAATAGAGCATATTATAAATGTTCAGGGTTAAAAATTTTTATGTATATAATTGAATAACAGAAACTCAAATTTCTTAAACACACTATTTCAAGTTACCACATTTTGTTTAACATACAGATTTGGAATGATTCAAGTATTAAATCACAAATTAAGCAAGTAGAATGGGAAAAATTCTTTTCTTCACTCCCACTGACTCTTAATTCTTTTCATACTATTTCTATTGAAGGTATTTGATTAAATCTTTTGGGTTTGTTTGTTTGTTTTTTGGTACTGGGAATTGAACTTAGGGGCACTCAACCTCTCAGCCACATCCCTGGCCCTATTTTTTATTTTATTTAGAGACAGAGTCTCACTGAATTTCTTAGTGCCTCCTCACCATTGCTGAGGCTGGCTTTGAACTCTGGATCCTCCTTCTTCAGACTCCAAGCCACTGGGATTACAAGCATGTCCCACTGCACCCAGCCTGATTAAATTGTTTTTAGAGAGAGAAGAGAGGCTTGGATTTCAACAACTATTCTTTGGACATATGGTGTAAGAGAGAGACAATTTTTTAATATTTATTTTTCAGTTTTCGGTGGACACAACATCTTTATTTTATTTTATGTTGTGCTGAGGATCGAACCCAGTGCCCTGTGCATGCCAGGCAAGTGTGGTACCGCTTGAGCCACATCCCCAGCCCTGATTAAATCTTTTTTAGAGGCTATGAACTTTTGAAAATTTTTAAAAATTTTATCTATTTATTTATTTTTATGTGGTGTTGAGGATCAAACCCAGTGGCTCACAGATGCTAGGTAAGTGCTCTACCACTGAACCACAACCTCAGCCCTAGCTTAAATCTTTAATGGATGACATGTGAGAAGGTCAACTGGCACTGATCTAACTTAGACTAGCTCATGTGTGCCAGGAAGGGGCACTATGGACCCTGAAATTGGCTACTTCCTGCAGAAAAACAGTTCTGTTTTCTACCTTTAATCCAGACTGCTCAGGTAAAGCACCATTCAGTAGTTACTGAATTTTTAGGTAGGAAACACATAACTTAAATATATGAATAACTTAAAACATTCTGCCAACAATCATTGATGTACATAGTATGAACTATTATTGAGACAGCAAACTTCCTTTCAGCTTTATAGGTGATTAAGAAGATTAAGAACACTTGTTATTGTGAGAGACACTTGGTTTTGAAGCAGCACAAATTGATGAAACTTAGTTCAGTGGTGACAAGAATGACCTACTTACCCATATGTCCAGAGAATAGTTGTTGAAATCCAAGCCTGTGGGAATCAAATGAACTATGATTTTGAGGGTAGTTTGTACTCTTTTGGTGGAGGGTTATTAATTTCTTATGGGGGGTTGTCCGTGCATATGTACATACATATGGCATAATTTAATAAAATTTCTTTTCTTAGGTTTCATTGCTTTATATATTCACCCCATATACAGTCATTAAAAGGCAGTGACCTGGGGCTGGGGCTGTAGCTCAGTGGTAAAGTGCTTGCCTCAAAAGTGTGAAGCACTAGGTTCGATCCTTAGCACCACATAAAAATAAATAAAGATATTGTATGTTCATATACAACTAAATAAATATTTTTAAAAAGAAAAAAAAGAAAATGGGTGCCTTCATTTAATAAAAAAAAAAGGCAGTGACCTCAGTACCAAATTTAGATGGTTGTAACACTGACAGTATGGCAATGAGTTATGGGTCCCAAGGTAAACTTCAAGAATGGATCATCCCTGAAATTACTTACTATGGAATTAAAACACTAAGTTCTCTCTAGTTCTTCTTGAGAGGAGATAACTTCAACTGGGAGTACAGTCACTCTTAACACCAAGTGGGAAAAAAAATTTCTCTTGCTTTGGCATTTTCTGTTCCCTGGAAGAGGTTCTGGCTGGTGGAGGCAGAGATAACAGTGAATGACCCAAAATGAACCAACAATCTCTAAATGGGTTAACAGAATACCCTGAATTCTACCCAGGCCAGGACTCAGAGACTGACCAGAAGCTAAGAACTGTTTTCATTTACATGAATCTTCATCAAATAATAGAAGTACAGTCATGTCCTTCCTTATTCTAAATCCTGGTCTTTGGGAGGGGAGAAGGGAAGTGGATATAGAGGAAGGCCATGGTGCTTCACAAAGGCCTAGTATTCTAGGCCACACCTGACAATATCATCACATTGCAGAATGTAATCCCACTTTGAAAATGGATGACACTATTTTGGGAACTGAGGAGAAAATATAGATACCTACTCTGAAATTTTAACTGAAGAATGTGGAAGCCACACCAGTAAGCAGGTACATTGTCCACTTAAAAATCTAAATGGTTATTTTGCTTCTCAATTGCCATATAATGACTTTCTTTTTAAAAAAATTTTTAGTTGTAGTTGGACACAATACCTGTATTTTATTTGTTATTTACTTTTATGTGGTGCTGAGGATAAAATTCTGGGCCTTGCATGTGCTAGGCCCATACTCTACTGCGAAGCAACAACCCCAGCCCCAACATATAATGACTTTCTAAAAACTGCCTACTGTGGTGTATGTGTTAAGAATATTTTTTAAGAGTCCCTCCATTTTCAATGGATAAAACAATCATTTACATTCAAGAAACATGATCAAGTCTGGGTGTTCTAGGTGACATCTGAGACTAAATATGTAACCAACTTACATTTCACTCAAAACACATAATCATCCAAGCTGTATGTATACATAAACAGGTTTATGCAAACGTCCTGATGAAAGTATACTTAGTCTTTCAGATGAGGTACATAAAGCTAAGGGCTCAGCCTGTATATCCCACCAAGGGCAAGAGCAGCAACTTTTCTATTTTAATACAATTGTGAGCAGAAATCATGTTGTTTAAAATAGAGATCCTTTCATAATACTTAAGATTTAGAGTAGAGAAAGAGAAGACAAAACCAAAATTCCCACACAGTCAAAAACAATTTCATGTCAGTCTTATAGTCTGGAAAAAACCTTAAGAAGAATGGCAGTTCCCAAACTCATATACTAGGATCCAGGTTCACCAAGACATTTCATGATGCTTCGAAGTTGCTCATCATGGTTTTCCTGCTGTATTCATAGGCCAAAAATAGTGCACCATTGGAAGGGAATGCTCGAATCATGGTAGCTTTCAGTCCTGAATATAAGGCTAGTACTCCCTCGTTTCTCACGATATTTAACAAGGTTCCAATAAATCCTGCCTGTTTTCCATACATGGAAAGAACCTGAATTCTGGATTTAATACAATCCACTGGGAATACAACAAGCCAGAGGCAGATTCCAGCAACTCCACCACTTAACATCAAAGGGACAGGGCCTAGTTCATTCTTTGGTCTCCCTGATGCAAAAAAAGATCTGCTCAGTTCATACCCACTGAAGAAGAAGAAATAGCCTATTACTTCCTGAAGTAGAGTGCTTGAGAGACCATGGTATAAACCTAAGACACCATCCTTCTTAAGGATACTCTTCACGACAGACCAAATTGTGTTATGGCTTTTTACTATCTTTCCTGACAACTCCATTTCATACATGGTCTGCAGCCGGCACTTCACAAGCTCAGTGGGGCAAAGGACCAGGGCAGCAATCGCAGAGGCAAAGGAACCGGCAGTTGCAGTCTGCAGATCATTCAGTTCTGCCTGTTTGTCCAAGCCAACCATTTTTCGAACAAACTGTTGACTAAAGCCGTAGCACATGAAGAGGACAGAGCTCTGGGAGACTTGGGCCATCAGTGCTGGGCAGGTTCCCCTGTAGAAGCCCCGGATACCCACTTGGTTGTATGTCTTTCGGAAGCAGTCTCTGAGGCCCGTGTACAGGCCAGGGAATGTCTGCATCTTCACTTTCATTGTGTCAAAGGGCTGCCCAGTCAGTACACACGCTGTACCCCCTGCCGCCCCGGCTGTGAGGTCGATGGCAGCCTGGATGCTGGGGCTGGACTTCATGTTTGCCCACTCAACTGCGGGTCTTGGTGGAAGGCAACTCTCTGGAACACAGGACCCGGGGCCCACATCCGCCTGCGCCCAGGACCTGGGGTGGCTCCGCCGCCGGCCGCCGGCTCTCACACAGCGTAGGGGGTAGGCCGCTAAACCTCCCAAGTAACCCCTAGCGGGTGGCCTCGCGCTGCTCGCGAGCGCACAGGCAGGAGGCGGGGCCCTAGCAGGCACCCGCCTGCGCAGTGCGGGAAAAGCTGCGCATAAAAGCTTTCCCAGGGCTGGTGTGAAGCTCCGGGAAGAGCACGTGCTGAATTTGCACAGGGGCCTGGGTTCAAACCTCAGCAACCTACACACACACACACACACACACACACACACACACACTTTCCTCTTTAGCCAGACTCCCCAGACTTTCTTACTACACACAGGGGGAAAAAATTAGAGATGCAATTTTAAGAAAAAGTTTTACAGTAAAGACCAACTATTTGGGGCTCCCGGTTACTATATGAAAATAAGTGGCTGTTTTTATTGGAAAACCCACAGTCAGCTGCTCCCAGCACTTCACTTTAGTGGGAGGGAGAGAGGCTGGGATGGAAATCTGTGTTCAGCAGATGAAATACTTTGGAGATAAAAACGAAATCTAAGGGGCATAAGGTTTGTGAAAATGATTCTCTTTTGTTTAGAAAGATTTCCTCGTGTGATTATCCATGGCTATCAATTATGATTTAAAGTGAGGCACCAAATGGCCCAAGGACAATTTGTCAACAGATAGTTTTCATTGTAGTAAATGGTGACCTGGCTCGGTGGTGCACGCCTGTAATCCCAGCGACTGGGGAGGCTGAGGCAGGAGGATCAGTTCAAAGGCAGCCTTGGCAATGGTGAGGCGCTGAGATACTCAGTGAGACCCTGTCAGTAGTCTAACAAACAAAAATGGTAACCTGGCTTTTTCTTTGGAGAATGCCCAAATGTCAGTATTTGGAGTTCTTTTCTCTGGGACCATGTTTCTTCAGTGATAATCTTCCAACTCTGACCGTGTGGCGCAGGAGGAGAATTGGGGTGGGTAGACTATATTCCTAGATGTAACAGTGCTCCACTTTATGCTTCAAATATAGCCCTTGCTGCTCTGCCACTGCAACTGATTTTTAAAGTGGACATGTTTCTTTTTCTTCTCCTTCCAACCCCCCTAATCTCAGGGGAAACACATTACCTTCCTTCCCCATTCTAGGTAGATTTATCTGTCCTGGAGTGTACACCCACCATAGGAATGAACTAATCCAGAGTTGGTAATGATACCAGAAGATCTCAGAAATGATTATCTCCCAAATTAACAAGTGAATTACAACTACAACAGAGAATACATGGAATGTAGCCCTGAATCACCTCTTTAAAAACCCCTTTTTCCTCCTGATGGGCAGTTTCACAGTCTTTGGGACAGGAGTCCCCTGTGTTTCTCCTTGGCTAGCAAAGCAATAAACCTTCTTTTTCCTTTTTCTCAAATACGTGTTCTGGTTATTGGATTGGCATCAGGGACAAGAAACCAGCTTTCAGCAACAAATTTGGCACCCTAGATGGGACCTGAGATTATTATACAATCTTAAAGTTGATTTTGTCTGTCAAGGGTCAAGTATATGAAAGAGATTCTGTATGTATAGGCATGCATGCAGTTGCATGATAAGGGGTCTGAACCATCAGGAATGAAGTTGAAGGTGCCAAAAGGCACTGCTTCTGGTGTGCTAGGATAGCAGGATACTAGAAGAAAGGGTTGAAAAGATTTAATATTTTAAACCCAGTGCTGGCTCTCCCAGCACCATTTCTCAGTCTGGCCTCAGGCAGCTGTAGATAATCTCATTGTGGGTCAAGGACACCAGGCCTAAACTGGAAAAAAATTCTGGAAATCTGCCTGGGCTGTAGAAAAATGGCCAAAGAGAACCTGGCCTCTGCTCTGCCTTCCAGCCCCTTTTGCCCCTGGTGGGTGGAGGCTAATGACCACAAAGATGTGGCAGTAGATTCTAGCACAGTTTATGAGCTGGGCACAGGAATAGTCTCCCCTTTTAAGATCTGACAGGACACCTCATTTGGCCAGGGGATATCCATTACTGGGGAAAAGCTATTCTTGCTATAATAGTATTCCATCAAACTAATATGCCTGAGGAGACTGGCAAAATAAATAAATAACTGCACACAGAAAAGGAAAAAAAAGGCCAACCTGTATTTTGTAGTTAGCCTCTGCAAAGGGGTCTTAAAGGAATCCTAAAGAAAAAAATGAAAAGGGCCTCCTCCATTGCATATCAATATGCCTAGTATAAGAGAAAGGCCCAAAAGAAGCCTCTGGGTACAACTGACAGAGGGTGAGGAGACTCACTTAAAATTGATGGCATCATGATAATGGTGAGGCAGACAGGTCAGTCTCAAAAATATCCTGTGCTCCAACCCCATAAATGCAACCTGGGAATTTTTGAATATGCCAGATTGTCTGATCTCTCTCCTGGAATGAAATTTGCTGTGTAAATTACATGCACAGATAACATTCATAAGGACTATTTGAGAATATGAATTTAAGAAAGGATCCAAAACTAGAAAAGGTAAAAGATAGTTACAGATATGGAAATACATTTTAGTATGGAAATCAGAAGTTACAAGAAATGTGTCTGGATGAGAAAGTATTTTGTCTGGTAAAGCAATATTCTTGTGCTAAAGTCCCAGATAACAGAAAAAAACTAAAGGTGTAAAGTTGTGAATAAGTAAGTCCTAAAAGGTTTGTGGAAGGTAAATCTCAAAAGTTTGTGTTTGTGATTAAGTTAGCTATAATTAGCACAGTCAATTAAAATTATTTGATCTTTAATGTACTCATATGAAGCAAAGTCTGAAACATGGATCTGCTCCTATCTATCAAGTTATGTAAGTTTATCAGCAAGATAACCAATAAGTGGCCTCTTTTATACATTGTATGTGACATAGAAGGGGCACACTGTCATTTGAAGACCTGTCTTATATCTGTTTACTTAGAGTAAGTCAATTTCTGATCATTAAAGTTGTTTCATAAATGTATAAGAGGTTTAAAAGGCTATCCTTTGATTTTTGCTTTAGTCCTGCTAACCCATGCAGACCTGTGATTTGTTACCATACACTCTGAATTCTAAATTGTACTTTAAAAGTTAAACTTAGGGGCTGGGGTTGTGGCTCCTGTGGTAGAGCGCTTGCCTCGCATGTGAGAAACCCTGGGTTCGATCCTCAGCACCACATAAAAATAAATAAACAAAATAAAGGTATTGTGTCCATGTATAACTAAAAAAAGTATTAAAAAAAAGTTAAACTTAGTTACATGTAAAGCTTAGGGGAGAACATTTTGCCAAGCTGATGTTCTCTAAGCTAAAATTATGTGTAGCAAAATTCTCAGATTTGTATAAAATTTTAAAAATTGTATTTATTCATATCAGTTGATGTTTTATAGCTGTATGAAGTAACCTGTTGTAAGTTATATACAATGTTATGTCACTCTTCACACTGGAATTGGAATTTAAATGCATTTTCAAAGATAGTAAGAACCTGATTTGTTTAAAGGTGACATTGTAAAACATGAAAATATTCTGCTACCTTTTCCACAAAAGGGAAGTTAAAAGCTCTCTTAGCCTTTGTTTGATTCATTTTGAAATGCAATGTTGTATTGTGTTATTTGTGAAAAGCCCCACCTTACCTGAGATAAGGCTCTGTCTTCCACCTTATTCCATGTTAGAATGGCTCCAAAATAGATGAGACTTTAGTGCATTTAAATTTGTGTTCAAAAGATTGATTTTTGTTGTAAAGATTACTGTGATCTTAAACAGGGAATATAATGCATAACTAAGTAAAAGTTCAAGATTATAAAAGTAATTTTTCTTGGTTCATAGCTATTACACAACAGTTATAAAATTTATAAAAGTTATAAAATTTATAACAGTTATAAATTTTATAACTGTTGTTGCCTGTTAGTATTTTGCAGATATACTGTTTCAAAAGCAAAACACAACCTGAGTTAATTTGAGATAATAAGCCATCACCTACAAAATAGATAGTATATAATGCTGACTTCCAGTACTAATACTAATCCCAATTAAATGAAAGGAGTAACTATAAAATTATGGATATTGAAGTTATAACCTGTTATTCCCTCTTCAAGACTGGTGAAACTGGCTTGCTAGGTGTTTAAAACCAAAAACTTGGAGACCAAAGGCAAGGAAGTAAAAGAGCCAAGGAAAAAGCAGCCAACATTTTGACCCTTGTTCTCTAAGATCAGCCAGGACCTAGAGAATGACGAGACCCCTCTCTGGGCCCTGCAACTCTGATGATCTACTCATCTGCTGATCAGGAAGACTGAGAGGACCTTAGAGAACAGGAAGCCAGTCAGTGCCCATTCTGCAAAGAAGAGGGTCATTGGAGATGAAAATGTTGCTTCCAAGAGAAGCCACCTATGGTCAACCAGACACTGACCCATACTGGCAGGTGGCACCACTGGTAGAGGAGAGCTAAAGGAGCCAAGAAGTTTCACACATGTCCCCAAGAGTGATCTCTGAGGAATCTCAGCTGACTCTTAAATAGTAGATAGAAACAAGGTCAGTTTTGACCAACTTGGTCTTAAACACCTGACAGGAAAGTATAGCCTTAGCATAGTCCTACATGAATATTTAAAGGGAAAAACAATGGTTTATTTAAGTGAAACTTAAGATGAACACTTGTGTCAGTCCTACCAAAGGTATAGCTGGAGGCTATAAAGGAAGGGTTCTTGTGTGAGAGTGCCTCATAATGATGATCAAAAAGGATTCTAGAGTCACAAGTTTATCCTGAGTTAATTTGAGCCTGATCTCATAAACTTACAAATCTTCTTAACTTTCTATATTTATAAAGTTGACTGTTTTTCACTGATATGATTATGAGTTACTATCTTCATGGTTTTCAGAGACTGGATGAAATACTAATTACTTTTGTGCTAAAGCTTATGAAAAAGTAATGCTTTGCTGTCTTGTTTGTTGTTA